CGTGTCCTGTATGTGGTGTGTCCTCAGCAGATCGTGGCCGCGGATAGACTTGGACTCGTGGTGATCACACTGGATTCTGAGCTCAGCTCACACTCACACAGCCTCTACTGCCCACCCTGCTGCAGAGTGGCCTGGCCATTACTGGCCAGTGTGTCATTGTCTGGCTCTTTTACTGTTTGGTGTTCCTTCCTTCAACCTTTCCCACATGGCCTTCTCTAGAGGCTTCCAACCCTGGGACCTGTGTGTGACCTAGTGCAGACACCAGATCTTTTTTGAGGTAATCAATGAAGCTGAGGCATGGTAAAGCCCGGAGCCCTACGTCCACAGAACCGTGTCCTATAAGAAGGGCCAAGAGGCATACAGGGTGGAAGGAGGAGGCAGAGACCAGAGTGACCGGAGCTAAGCCAAGGATCTTCAAGTATTTCCGGCAACATCAGGAGCTGGAGAAGGCAGGAAGGACCCTCCCTGAGGGCCCCAGAGGGAGCTGGCCCTGCCACACCTTGAGCTCCAGATCGGAGAGAATAAACTTTCCTTCCTAAAGCCATTGGTTTGGGGTGTGAGAGCTGTGCTCTCTGCCTGGAGCCTGGTCCTGCAGCCCTGCCTGGGCACCCTGCCCTCCTGTGCTGTGCATGTTCATAGAGGAAGTGGTAAACCAACTGCCCTCATAGCTGGCTCCAGCGACTGTCACCTCCCCGGGAAGGGAAGGTTTCACTATCTACAGCAGTAGTAAGGGACCGTGGGGCAGGCTGTTGAAATCACCTTAAAGAAAACATTTAGGGGTTGACGAGATGGCTTAGTGGGTAAAGGCACTTGCTGTCAAGCCTGACTACCTGAGTTTGATCCCTGGAACCCACATGGTAGAAGGAGAGAACCAACTCCCCCAAGTTGTCCTCTGACCTCTATCTATGCACCGTGGCGTGCACATGCACACACAAAAGAAAGGTAATAAAAATATTTATAGGGGCTGGAGAGATAGCTCAGCGGTTAAGAACACTGGTTGTTCTTGCAGAAGACCCAGGTTCAAATCCCAGCCCCCATCTGGCAGCTAACAACTGTCCATAACTCCAGTCCCAGGGGATCATGGGCTGGAGAGATGGCTCAGCAGTTAAGAACACTGGTTCTTCTTGCAGAAGACCCGGGTTCAAATCTTAGCACCCACATGGCAGCTAACAACTGTCTGTAACTCCAACTCCAGGGGATCTGACAGTCTCTTCTGTCCTCCGTGGGCATTGTATGACATGGGTGCACTTACCTATATGTGGGCAATACACATATACACATAAAATAAAAATAATAAAAATTTTTAAAAAATTTATAAAAGCATTTGGCCAAACTGTTAGTTTCTAAACCATTTACTTCTTGGTGTTTAAATAAACACTTACTGACTGTGGGGACAGGTGGGAAGTGGGCCTCTCTTCATGGCCAGTACTGTGCTCTGGGCCACCAGGCTCACCCCAGGCTGGCAGGCCCACCACCAGGGTTCCTGCCTGAATCTTGCTATTAAACACCATCCTCAGAGGGCAGCCGTGAGCACTAGCCTTAGTGAGCGTCTGATGGGAGGTGTTCTTTCCATAACTTCCTCCTGCTGGCCTGGTACTGACCAGAGCCTCCAGTCTCCAGCCCTGCAGCCTGCACGCTGGGCACAGCCCTCATACCTTAGGTGTGTCACTCTGTCCCCAAGCATCCTTCTCCTGGTGTCTACATTTTTCTGGGTAAAACCGAAGGGGGGAAAAAAAGTGGAAGTGCTGTGCATCCGTGGTGTGTGGGACACACACACCTTGGAGTCGGTTGATACCCGCAGGTTTAGCTCAGATTCATTCTGAGGTGACTGAGGGACTCCCTGTTGCCAAACATGCTTGAGACCTTGTGTTGACTTGACTCTCAGAGAGCTGAGGCCTGTGTACAGTTCTTAGGGACACTGTGCTGCAGTCTACCACATGGTTCCAGAGCCAGAGAGTAGCCCCCCAGATCTCTGCAGCCCCCTCCCCACCTACCCTGTTCCCTAATGGCACCAGCCACAGTGTGAGGTTGTGTTCCTTGTTGATCTAGTCCACTTTATAGTCTCTGTCCTGTAACCCTAGGGGTATCAGAGGGCTGCTTATGAGCCTGGTTCGCCTGCCTCTCCACCCCTACAGCTGGTCTGGGCCTGGCCTGAGGCAACTGCCCACAGTGACTGGTGGTATGACCGAGCTGACCAGGCAGCAAACCTTCCTCTCTGTTCTTCAGATAATTCAGGGATCTTATTTCCCCACTTGGTGCTGTGTGCCCTTAAGCCAGGAGCTTGGTCTTTCTGTGCATCAGGTTCCTAGTTGGTACCTCAGGGAATAGTCATACCTGGCACCAAGATGGCTGTCTTTTGAATGATTGGGTTAGGATTGTGGGAAAGGGTCTGCAAAACAGGCTTAACTGTGTTTTGGGAACGAGTCTGTTTTCTACTAGGGACCAGCACTTCCTGTAGAGTCTGTGAAGGCTCTGTGTGAGGTCAGATGGCGGTTGACGCATGCTGCTCGTCCCACACGGAGGCCCCCACGGTCTCTTTGGAGCTGTCTGCAGGTTCCCTTTGGTCAGAGCCCTACTTTGCCACCCCTGGCCTTCCCCAAGCAGACATTTCCTACCCATCACGTTAGCTATCTAAGCCTTACAACATCGGGCTCAGTGTCAGAGCAAGATAGGGGTCCAGGAACCATCAGCCTGAGTTTTGAGGAAATAGGCCCAGAGAGAGCCAGAGCCTCGCCTGATGCCCGTACCAGGCAGGTTCCATATCAGGGCTGCCCTCTCTCACGGGCAACTTTGGTTTGTGAGCACTGCACAAAAGGGCACATGCAAGCCAGGATCCCTGTGAACCTGTGGGCCATGTGTGGCGTGGAGACACCTTCAGTCTGTTCACAGGGGCCCAGGAGCAGCCAGCTGCAAGTTCAGGAGGCAGTGAGTGACCTGCACCTACCTGTTGCCTGTTTGCCCAGCCCTGGATAGGAAGCTCTTGTTAATAGCTCCCTCTAGTGGAGAAATTGCATTATGAACTTGGCCTAGAAGCAGGCGCCAGGAGGATCCCTGGCATATAGCTTTGGAGGAACCCAGAGCAACTCTCAGGTCCCAGGCTTCCTTGTGGGAGAAGCCAACATGGTGCAGGTGACTGGCTGCTGCTTGAAGGCCACAGCTAGGTCGGTCCTGGGGTTGACTTGTGGGCCGCGTGAGAGAGAAGCCCCAGGGTGTTGTCTGAGCCATGAGATGCTTCGTGATTCTGGGCAAGTGACTCCAGAATGAAGCTGGAATTCATCTCTGGCCCTGACATTTCTCCATTTTGTGGGCCCTTGAGACAGTGAGGGCTGGGATGATGACGGGTTCTGGGAGGGAGCCACATCCCAACCCCAGCCACCTCAGGTGTTTGTGTCTGGGTGGATGGCATTTTGGGGTCCCTGAGTCTGCAAGAGGCTCTGTGGGCATCTTCTGTGATGCGCTCTGGTAACCCAGCAGGGAGGACTGGGGCAGAGGCAGTTGCCTAGGCTGCAGTGTGCCAGTCTACTAGGGGTGGCTGGCTGTTTCCTTCTTGCCTCTGTCTCAGTGCTGGCTCTTGAACTATGATTTCAGCTCAGGCTTTGGGAATTGGGGCATGGGGGGGACATGCCAGTGGGTCACAAGAGCCTCTTGTGGCACTTGACACCCCCCCCAAACCTAGCTGCAGAGGTCTGAGCCCCACCAGGTAGCCAGAGTGGGTGGGGATGGTGGTCTTGGAGCCCCAGCTTGGCATTTGTTAATCATTGGAGTGGAGATTCAGAATAATCCTCAGCTGATGCCTGAGGCCCTGCTCACCTGAAGCTCTCTGTGCCCCAGGCCCCAAATTGCCACAGTGGCTAGGGAGACCTGGATTTCCCAACTTCTGTGCTGTCCAGGGCTTCTGGGTATCTGGTACCCAGATGACTTTTGGAATTCACATCTTGAATGTGGTTGGCAGATCCTGCCTCAGCTGGACCAAGATCTTTGGCTTAGAACTGGCATCACCCAAGCTGCCCTCCATGCTGCCTTCCATGCCCAGCTCAGTCTGTCCTGGTTGTGGAGTGTCCTGTGGGAGGGGTGGGCTCTCTTCTCTGAACTCTTGTCTTCCAATATTATGAAGGGCTTGGCTTCAAAGTTGCCAGCCCCCAGGCTTGGCTCTACTGCCCATAAGACATCCTGCTGGCCAGGGGCTGGGTGAATTCCTTGGCTGTTTCTCCGTGGGACACCCCCTCACCCCCATCTATAGATCCTGTTTGGAAACCAGCCTTTCTCAAGGCTCCCTGTGGTGCAGAGGCCACAGTGACCCTGCATGATCCTGGAACTCTTGGGTCTGGTCTGGGCTCAAGCCCGAAGACACTTGACCCTGGAGCATTTCTGCCTCAGTTGCCTGGTTTGAAGTGGTTGTGAAGTTGTGTTGTTGCTTCTACAGCTAAAAGTACCTAGGGGTCTCTGAGTCAGACACCCTCCATCCCAGAGCTCCATGCTTGTCAGGGCTGGGTTGAGGGTCATGTACCCATCAGGACTTTCTGGTCCTGCCTGGGAGCTGAATGGCAGCTCTGCTCCAGAGGTGCAGCTATGGGGCTAGAAGCTGTTTCTTAGGTTGGTGGGGGAGGAAGGGCATTCAGGTAGAGTCAGGAAGGGTGAATAACTATAAGATAGGGCCCACCCGGGATTTCAAGATTCAAATGACAACTGGGGTCTGGAGCCCTGTGCTTCCAGCAGGATTTGTGACTGAGGCAGGCTTGTAGTCAGGAGAGGAGCTTGTAAAGGGACAAGAGGGTTGACTGAGACAACTAGATGACCTGGCTGGGCTGTTTTCAGCTGGTTACTTAACCTCTCCGTGCTTCAGATTGTTCTTGTAAAACAGTGTCACCCTCATAGACCTCCATTGTACAAGGAAAAACCCGGGGACCTAGCTGAGTCTGGCCTGGAGATCCCCAGCCCAAGCTGAGATTCTTAGCCTGCCACAGCTGCTGACCTCTCACTCCACTGCTGTGTCTCTGCAGGGGCTGAGGAGGTGCTGCTGCTGGCCCGGAGGACAGACCTGCGGAGGATCTCGCTGGACACGCCCGACTTCACAGACATTGTGCTGCAAGTGGGTGACATACGACATGCCATCGCTATCGACTATGACCCTCTGGAGGGCTATGTGTACTGGACGGACGATGAGGTGCGGGCCATCCGCAGGGCATATCTTGATGGGTCTGGGGCACAGACACTGGTCAACACGGAGATCAACGACCCTGATGGCATCGCTGTGGACTGGGTCGCCCGAAACCTCTACTGGACAGACACAGGCACTGACCGCATTGAGGTGACTCGCCTCAATGGCACCTCCCGAAAGATCCTGGTGTCTGAGGACCTGGATGAACCCCGGGCCATCGTGCTGCACCCTGTGATGGGGTAAGGCTGGGATCACGGGGCGACCTTGGACAGTACCTTCACTTCCCAGACGGGGTTGTTAACATGTGGAGTTCCCAGTCAGTGCGTTGTACTATTCTTAGAGCTGACATTTCTCAAACAAGCTCTCAGTGCTCTGCTGTAGACGATTCTCAGACTGAGGCCACTGTGTAGTGGGTGAGAAAGCCTTGAGGGCTGGGGGATGGTTTAAAAAAAAACATTGCATGTGGGCTGGCGGGGTGGCTCGGTAGTTAACAGCACTTGCTGCTCTTGCAGAGAACCTGGGTTTAGTTGCCAGCACCCACATGAGGGCTAGCAACTACCAGTAACTCCAATTCCAGGGGATCTGATGACCTCTTCTGGCTTCTATTGGCATTGCATGCCTGTGATGTACCTGTGTGTATAGACCAGGCATCATACGTATAAAAATAAATAAAAACTTAACAAAAAAATTAAGCTGCATGTAGGGCTGGGAAGATAGCTCAGTAGTTAAATACTTGCTGTGAAGAGTAAGGTAGGAGTTTGGATCTGCAGAAACCCACATAAATGCCAGATAGGCATGGTGGCCCACCTGTAATTTCAACCTCAGAATGTGGAAACAGGAGATCCTCAGAACAAGCTGACTAGTGAGACTAGCCTTTTTCAGGATCTCTGGGTTTGACTGAGAAACCTTGTCTCAAAGAAAAAGGTAGGTGAGCGAGGGAGATGTTCCTCAGGCCTTCACATCCATGTGCACCTACACACACCTATGTGGGTCCTGGGAACCAAACCCAGATCCTCTGAAAGAGTAGTAAGTGCTCTTAACTGCTGAGCCATCTCTCCAGCCCCTTCAGTATTTTAGCTTTCTGTGCAAATGGAGAATACTGGTGGGGGTAGGGCCTCTGAGAGCCCAGCAGCTCAGAGGGTAGTCCGAACGACGGGTGCTAGGATGCTAACTGAGCAGGGTGAGGGCAGGGCTGCTTTGTAGAGCACTGGGGCCATGCTGGTGGGCAGGGAAGAGCCTGCTCTTAGTGCAGGGTATGGGCCCACATCAGACACCCTGGATGGCCAAAGGAAGCGGCAGGTCAGCCACAACAGCTACAGTCTTCAGAGCGTCACAAGCACAGAATGTATTTCCCCTTTTGTAGCCTAGGAAGGCCAGCAGCACAGGTGTGAGCTGCTGCAGATGCCCACAAGTGGTGGTCCCAGGGTTATAGCCTGCCCCTTTGGACAGCAACCTGAGCACCAGGCTTTGCCCCAGGCATTTCACACAGCCTGTTGTGGGACTTTGCAGGTCACGTGTAAAAGCCAAACAGATCAGGTGGCCTCAAGGGCAGTGATGGGGATGGGGGGTTGGGGACTGTCCAGGGCTCTAGCAGGTCTCTGACCGTGGGGCCCATAGCAGCTAGAGCGTCTGCTCTGTGGTGGAGGCCGAAGAGCAGGGTTGTCTCCAGGGAGGGCAGATACAGGGAGCAGGGGGGGGGGGCACCAAAAGCTGAGGTGACCAAGGGGCCACCAACTGCCCCCCAGGTTTGTCCTTGGGCTGAGGGCAGTCACCTATCCTCGGCACATAGTTTTCTGAACTCTGCTGTTTTCTGAAGGCTCCTCACCTCCTTCCTTAATGCTCTGTCCTCTAGCACACAAGTCAGTCTTGAAGATGCCCCAGACTTGTAGCTGCCTTGTGGGGCCGGAGCTGAGCCTGCAGCCCTGGGAACCCAGGCCCCACCGTGCTGCCCTGTGCTGTGGGGTGCCCTGCTGTTCCCACTGAACCACAGGTTCCCAAGCTATTGGCTGACACTTGCCCCGTGATTCCAGGGGTGTGTGTGAGCCTGGGGGAGGTGTGGCCCTTAGAACTGGGGTGCAGCAGAGACAGGGCAGGCGGCGTCATCAAAGTTATTTGTTTCTTCTCCAGCCTCATGTACTGGACAGATTGGGGGGAGAATCCCAAAATCGAGTGTGCCAACCTGGATGGGCGAGATCGGCGTGTCCTGGTGAACACCTCCCTCGGGTGGCCCAATGGGCTGGCCCTGGACCTACAGGAGGGCAAGCTGTACTGGGGAGATGCCAAGACAGACAAAATTGAGGTGAGTCTGGCCCATGGGGCAAGGGAGGGTGCAGGTACCAAGAGCCACTTGATATAGAGACATCATGTACATGTGACCAGATGGTGCTTTGCTATCCCTGAGACCCAAGTTTCACTCAGAGGCCAGACCTTGTCACCCTACAGCCTGCCCTGTGTGTTTGGGTGACCAAACAGAATCCACAAGAAAATAACCTATGATGGGACTAGGGATGTAGCTCAGTTGGTGGTGTGCTTGCCTAGCACACAGAAAGCCCTGGGTTCCATCCCCAGGACTGTATAAATGAGGTGTGGTGGTGCACATCTGTGATCTGAACACTAAAAAGATGGAGGCAGGAGGTTTAGAAGTTCAATGTATTTCTCAAGTGCGTAGACAGTTTGAGCCCAGCCTGGGATATCTGAGACCCTGTCTCAAAAAAGAAAAGAAAAAAAAATTGATAGGGTCAATGAGATGGCTCAGTGGGTAAAAGCTGCCGCCAAGCCTGACAAACTGAGTTCAATTCCTGGAATCCACATGGTGTAAGGAGAGATCTGACTCCTGCAAGTTGCCCTCTGAACATGAAGTGTATGTGTCCCATCTCTCAGACATACAAGATAGATAATAAATTTTTTTAAAGTTTTTTTGAGACAGGATCTCCCTATAGCCCCAGCTGGCCTGGAACTCACTATGTAGACCAGGCTGACCTTGAACTCACAGAGATCCACCTGTCTCTGCCTCCTGAGTGCTGGGATTAAAGGCGTGCGCCACCATACCTGGCGATAGATAATAAATTTTTTAAAAATTAAATATGCAATCTCTTAAAAATTGTTTATGGGGCTGGAGAGATGGTTAAGAGCACTGGCTCTTCTTGCAGAGAACCTGGTTTCGAATCCCAGCACCCACATGGTGACTAACTGTCCATAATTCCAGTTCCAAGGAATCCAACACCCCCCTCTGTCCTCCATAGGTACTGCATGACACAGGTGCACTTACACGCATGCAGGCATAACACTCAAACATGTAAAATAAAAATACCATGCCCAGCCTAAAATTTTTTTAAATAAGAAAATTGTTCATGAAAGGGGGCTAGAGGGATGGCTCAGAGGTTAAGAGCACTTACTGCTGTTGAAGAGGACCTGGGTTCGCTTCCCAGCACCCATATCAAGTGGCTCACAACAGCCTGTAGCTATAGTTCCAGGGGATTGACACCCTTTTCTGGACCCTGAGGGCACCTGCATGCACATACATATGCTCAGATGCATACACACACAAAATAAATAAATCTTTAAAAAAAGAGTCTTGTGGTTCAAGAGAGTTTGAAGATGCCTATCTCCAGGGCCAATGAAATGAAGGCCAGTTCCTTCCTCCAGGGCAGCTGGGGATGCTTGGTCTTAGGTGCCCTCACTGCCTGTGGGACTCTGGCAGGGACGTGTGCATTCAGAGACACTGCTGGCCCTACATGACCCTTTTTCTGTCTACTCTCCACCAGAGTCACTATCAGTGCGGTTACAGTATTGTGTGACTGTCCCTATTGTCTGTCTCCTTCCAGAAGACTTTCTTCACCTAGACAGCCAACGCCAGGCCAGTTCACAGTCAGGCCAGTTCACAGTCACTCCCTAGTCCCCCGGTCCCCTCGGCCTCTGGCCACACCACTCACCTCCTTTGCTGTGTCTTCTGCTTGGCATCTTCCGAGTGTTTCCTGTGACGGACTCATAGAGATGTGGCTTTCCATGTGTGGCTCTGTTGGGAGCATAACGTGTTCAGGGCAGCTCCGTGCCGTCCTCCCCTCTGGTGGCTGCTGACGTGCCAGCGTGTGGGTGGATGCGCTTTGTGGACGTTCTCATCAGCCTGTTCCCTCCTGTTCCCTCTCTGTTAGGAATGAAGCTGCTGTGGAGATTGGCGTACAAGTTTTTGTTTGAATTCTTCATTCCTTTGGGTATGGAATTGCTGGTCATATGGCACTTACCGTGGTCTCGGAGGGACCATTAAACTTGTCCCCAGTGGCTGCACCAGTTCACAGAAGCATGTGAGGGTCCAACTGCTTTACTTCTTTGCTGGCATATCTTCTGTCCCTCACCCCCCCCCCCCGCCATATATGCAGGCCAGAGGTTGACATCATGTGTCTTGCTTGATCTTACTCCACCAAACCAAGTGGGAGTCCCAGGCTGCTAAACTCTGCTTGTCTGCTCCAGTTACCCCTGATTCCAGCAACTGTGGTGGCCTCAAAGCTGGCTCTACTTGGGAGTTAGAGAGCTGCTCAGTGGCCAAGTCCACTGGCTGCTCTTGAGAGGGCCTGGGGGTCAGTTCCCAGCACCCACATGATGACTCACAATCTCCTTATAACTCCACTTCCAAGGAATCCAACACCTTCTTCTGGCCTCCACAAGCATTGCACACACAGATATACTTATATACGTGCAAGCAAAACACTCATACACATAAAATACAAATAAAATTTTTTAATTAAATAAAACATTCTGCATAGAGTTTGCCGGCCCCATCCTGGAAAACCTACTTTCTGTACCATCTCCCAGCCACAGCATCAAGAGGTGTTCAGGATTGGCTCTGGACCTTCCTGAGCTCTGCTTTGGGTCCATGTCCTCCCAGAGGTCAGAATGGGCCTGTTCTTTGAACCCCATGACCTCACCTCACACTCAGCCTATCCCTGCTTGGCTCTAGGGATTCTTGGAAGCATGAGACCTCAGGGCAAGTGGCAGATGCTGACTCGTCCTCCTGGGGAGCCTGGATGACAAGCCCTCCTTATGCTTCAGAGTCTGGGAAAGGCCAGAGGCTGGCTGAGCTAGTTCAGTTGGTTTACAGCTGGTCAGGATGCTGAAAAGATGGGGTAGAGAGTGGTGGGTGTGACTTCCTAGTGTTTAAGAGTGCGACAGTGCGGAAGGTTAGGGTGGGTTCTGAGCACACACACAAAAGCTGTCATGGGAGCATTCTATTTATTTATTTATTTATTTATTTATTTATTTATTATTTTATTTATTTATTTTTGAGACAGGGTCTCCCTGCAGCCCCAGCTGGCCTAGGGAACTCACTGTGTAGACCGGGCTGACTGACCCAGCTGGCCTAGGGAACTCACTGTGTAGACCAGGCTGACTGACCTTGATCTCACAGAGATCTACCTACCTCTGCTGGGACTAAAGGTGTGCGTCACCATGCCCGACTCATTCTGTTATCTCTATTTCCACACATTAGAGCATGCAGGAAGTGCTCACTGCAGGCCTCCTGTTCCTCTAGGTCTGTCATCCGTCCTAAGGATGGCATGGGGTGTGGCTTCACCATGGGGAGGAGTTCCCTCAGGGAGGCTCTGCCTTGCCAGCCCAGAGCCAGACCTGCTCTGACCCCCTCTCAGTTTGCTTCAGGGCATCCAGGGAGTGGAAGAAGCAAAGGTGGGGCCGGGCAGCACCTGCCACCCTCTTTCCCAGAGTCTTTGTGGGCTCCTTTCACTGTTCTAGAATAGATCTAACTCCCCACTGCAGTTCGATTTAACATGCCTGGAAGTTTAGTTTCAGATAAAGAAAATTAGGCTAAGGATTTAGCTCACTTGGTAGAGAGCTTGTCTAGCAGGCCTGCCTGGATTTCATCCCCAGCACCGTGTAAACAGCATGGTGGTGCAGCATCAGGGGGAAGGTGGAGGGAGGATGATCAGACGTGGTCCAGCTTGGGCCACATGAGGTCCTGTGTCAGGAGAGAGAGGGAGGAGGAGGGAGGGGCTGATGAGGTGGCTCAGCCGGTAGAGGCACTTGCCACCAAGCCTGATGACCTGAGTTCGAGTCCTGTACCCCACATGGCGGAAGGAGAGAAGTGAATCTCACAAGTTGTCCTCTGACCTCCACACTCATACACATATGAATATAAACATGAGATGCAGAAGCACGTAGAGACAATTCTGGCCTTTGGTGGATTAAAGCCCAAATCTTAAACATGTGTGTTAGTGCACGCCGTTAATCCCAGCCCTGGGGAGGCAGAAACAGGTGTGAGTTCAAAGCCAGCCTGGTCTACATAGTGAGTTCCAAGCCAGTTGAGGAGTCCCTATCTCAAAAAAATAAAATAGAATAAAAATTAAACCACAAAACCTGGGTCTCTCTCCGGATGAAGGTTATTTTCTTCCTAGTATCTTTAGCCCCTGTTTGTTCTGTGTGGAGGAAGGGCTGGTTCTCCAGGCCTCCCAGAGCCCTGACTCCCTGCCCTCTTCCACCTGTGCTTTCTGAGTTGGACGATCCTGGTGGCAGGGAGCACCATGAGGTGTGGTTTTGTGGTGAGGGCTGGCTAGCCTTCTGGGCGTTCAATCTAGAGCTGTTGGCCAGTGTGTCATCTTTAGTCCTGGGGCAAATTAAGAATGAATTTGGGGTGTGTAGACCTAAGCTGTCCACCACTGCCCTCTACTGCTCACGGAGAGCATAGACCTCTGTCCGAGCTACATCCCTCCAGGTGAGGCTCTAGCAGGCGCTTGAGACTTCTGGGAGCTGCTCTGACAGCCCCATTCTACCCAGATGGTTTCAGGTTGGGGCCCAGCCCTGGTTAGTTGGTTTATTACGTTCCCCGGATGGCTTAGCTATTTAATCTGGCCCCCTGCTTCAGGTGGAGACCCTGAGGTCCGTGAGGAGGCTGGAGTGTGTGTTGGGGGTTACCTAGCCAAGAATCCATCACAGCCGACCCTCTGGCTGTGGGTGTCAGAACTACACTGCCTTGGCTGGTGATCCAGTGGTTTCACCTCTTGCTGTGGAACTGTAGCTCTTTTCATGAGCAGGAAGCAGAATGGCTCCAGAGGCCCACTGAGGCGTGTCTCTAATCATCTGGTGTGTTTCATCATCCTGTCTTGAGAACCCTGAGGCTGGGATCCTGCTATTGCAGGGTTGTGGATCACCAGAGTCCCCAGCATCCTACATGTGTCTGGGCTTCTGTGTATGAAGGTGTTTTCGTTTGACCAGCTCCTCTGTAGCTTTTTTTCTTTCTTTCCTTTCTCTTTTCTTTTTTTCTTTTGTCAGGGTCTTATATAGCCCAGCCTGGCCCTGGCTCTAGCTATGGATGGCCTTGGACTCCTGATCCTCCCGTGGATCCTCCTGAGTGCTAGGATTATAGGTGTGCACTATCAGCCTGGTTTATTGGTACTGGGAATAGAACCCAGGGCTTTGTAAATACTTGGTGAACCTTCTACCAGCTGACCCACATCCTCCGCCCTGGTGGTTGCTTTTAATCAGCATAGACTTTTCCAGAAAAAAAGACTTAGCTCTCCCATGCCAGAGTAAATGCAGAAGGAAGTGCTGTCGGCCTTTGGGCTTAGATTTATAACTAGAGTCATTCAGTAGTTAATCTGATCTGGAGGAACAAACCTACCCAGGTCCTAGGGTGGCTTGGCCCTTTGTTGCATGCTCCCCCATCACCCCTGCACCCTGCATTGCTGGTGGAGCCCAGGACTCCTTCTTGTGACGCCCACCCTGGTCTGAGGCCCACCCCGTTGCTTCAGGAACGAGGACCCCCTTTGCCTTTTCACATTATCCCCATCAGGTTGGGAGGTTCTGAGAGCACCTCCACTCCATCAGCCAAGGGCATGACATCACCATGAAAGTGCCGATGCAGCGGAGGTTCCTGGGACTTGAACCTATTTCAGGGCAGCTCAGGCCTGGGGCAAGCTTTATTGGTACAGCCTCACATAGACCCATGTCTCTCCCCATTTGCAGGTGATCAATGTGGATGGGACAAAACGGCGGACCCTGCTGGAAGACAAGCTCCCACACATTTTTGGGTTCACGCTGCTCGGGGACTTCATCTACTGGACTGATTGGCAGCGGCGCAGTATCGAACGGGTGCACAAGGTCAAGGCCAGCCGGGATGTCATCATCGATCAGCTACCCGATCTGATGGGACTCAAAGCAGTGAATGTGGCCAAAGTTGTTGGTGAGTCCTGGGAAGCCCTCAGCTGTGGCTCTGTCGGGCTGATTGTCGGCATAAGGAGAGGTGAAAAGTCCAGACCAGGGGTGAGTGTCCAGGAGGGTGACCCAGTGTGGGGACAGGTAGGACAGGAAACAGTGACCTTAAATACCCAAGGACCAGTGGGAATGGGCATGGCATGTCGCCCAGGGATACAGACCAGTTGTTACAGGTTAAGAATGTTGGGAATAGGCCTGGAGAGATGGTTCAGTGGTTAAGAGTGCTCACTGCTCTTGTGGAGGACCCAGGCTCAGTTCCCAGCACCCACATGGCAGCTAATAACTGTCAATAACTCTAGTTCTTAGCCGGGCATGGTGGCGCACACCTTTAATCCCAGCACTTGGGAAGCAGAGGAGAGGCAGGTGGATCTTTGTGAGTTTGAGGCCAGTCTGGTCTACATAGTGAGTTCCAGGACAGCTGGGGCTACAGGAGACCCTGTCTCAAAAAGACAAAAAAAAAAAACCCCAAAATACCCCACCTCTAGTTCCCAAGGATCTGATGCCCTTTTCTGGCCTCTGTGGGCATTGCATGACACAGGTGTACTTACATATGTGTAGGCAAAACACTCAGACACATAAAATAATTTTTACAAAAGTTATAAAAAGAATGTTGGGAGTCGGGCATGGTGGTGCACGCCTTTAATCTCAGCACTGGGCGGGGGGGGGGCAGAGGCAGGTGGATCTCTGTGAGTTCGAGGCCAACCTGATCTTCATGGTGAGTTCCAGGCCAGCTGGGGCTACAGGGAGACCTCGTCTCAAAAAAGACAGAAATAAAAGAATGTTGGGAATAATTGTGACTGACACGTGAGGATCAACTGTATACCAGGCGTCGGTGAGGGCTGTGGTGCCCAAGGCCGCCTGTATGTTCAGCCTAGTCCTTGCCCCATGGACACTTGGGAGAGGGAGATAAGGCCATTGGCTAACGGGTGGAGAAGCTCAGCATCTGTGACTGAGCTCGACAGCGACTGCTATCTACTGTCACCCAGCAGAGACTCTCAAATACACACCTTTGACCTGTAAGCCAGACTGGTCAAAGAGCCCGGGAGAACTGTATTTTGCATGATGAGCTATCTTTGTAAGGATTCCAAATGCAAGTTTAGAAGTTATACTCAGAGGGTAACATCCAGGTGGGAGACCAAGCAGGGCCAATTCCACAGGGTGAGGGCTCTGTTCCCAGCTGCAGTTCCCGTGTCTGCTGCTATGCCTGCATATCTCAAACATATGAGAAACCTTTGATAACTAAGTATAGGAAGAGGGCCCAGTGCTGTGGGCCAGTTGCGTATAGTTGATGAGTAAGATGACCTGCCCGCTTTGCTACTGGTCTTAGGTGTGATATTAGAGAGATGGTGATTTATGGGATGGGGAGATGGCTCAGAGGGTAAGGTACTTGTTCTTGCAGAGGACCTGAGTTGGTTTCCAGCATCCACATGACAGCTCATAACTACCGATAACCTATAACTGTAGGGGTCTGACACCTTCTTCTCGTCCTTCACGGACACAGACAGACACACACACATATATGCTCATAAAAATGACAAAAGGGAACGAAACCAAGTGTTTGGGCCAGTGAAATGGCACAGAGGGTAAGGGTGCTTACTACCAGGACTGATGACCTGGGTTTGATTTCCATCTCCCACGTGGTGGAAGGAGAGAACCAACTCCTGTAAGTTGTCCTCTGACCTCCATACGTGTGTCATGGTACCTGCTTGTGCCTGTACATACACACACACGAACACTAAATAAACAAATTAATTCTAAAAATTTTTAGAGGGGTGCCTGCTTTACCAGTATGAAGGGGATGATTCAGCTTGGACCCGAGGGAGCAGGCAGAAAGGACAGTTGAACAAAGGTTTGGCAGTGAGGCATTATGGGTGACCTCAGGCCACCTATGCCTCCCATCACTGTGACAGGTTGTATGGCAGCCTGCAGGATTGACAGGCTTCACTTCACAAGCCACCTGTGAAAACACACTTGTCATCCACGGCAGAAAGCCAGACGCACCTGTGTTAGGAAAGAGATACAAAAGCAAACCTTCATGGATTGTGGATTAAAGTTGAGAAATTGGGCTTCTCTCTCTCATCTTGTGATTTAGAAAAAAACGTTTTTTTTTTAGTTGAAATACTTAGCGCTAAATTTAAAAAACACTAAAGCAGCCAGGCAGGCATGGTGGTGCACGCCTTTAATCTCAGCTCTCTGGAGGCAGAGGCAGGTGGATCTCTGTGAGTTCAAGGCCAGCCTGGTCTACATAGTGAGTTTCAGGATAGCTGGGGCTACAGGGAGACCCTGTCTCAAAAAAACCCACTAAAGCAACACTTTTGTAGCAAAGTGAGGTAATAGGCCGGCCCAAAATAAATGAACATACCACTTTCTGTCTGCTTAAATAAAACTGGATCACTTTTGGCTGTCCCTGGCAAACCTGAGTTTCGTAGGTTGCTAAGGGTGTCAATGATTTGGGAAACATTCTGGAAGAATGGCAAGTCTGTTACTGGCAGGCTGGGAGCTGAGGAGGAGCAGTTGACCAGCACTTGGTTGTGACTCTACTAATCCTGGCTTAAGCTTAAGCCAGGAGACTGGCTTGCTTTCTGGACTGCTGACTGCAGTACCTTCCAGCCTCCTGCACTCAGTCTTCACCACTGACACAGATGAGCTTAGCTCCTGTCTCCCAGAGTTCTAACAGGTGACGCCCTGGGACCGGTACCTGGCAGCAACATGGCCCTGTAGGGTATTGCTGTTGATTGACTGTAGGAGGGAAGGCATGGATTGCCGTCACCTGGCTCTTTCCCGCTCCTCCTCCCACTGGCCCCTCTCGGTGAGTGGCAGGGAGGAAGCCCAGCGCAGCTGGGAACTGGGTCCATCATCTCCTTTGCTGCTGATGTCCAGGACTATGTGCTTGCCCCACAGGAACCAACCCATGTGCGGATGGGAATGGGGGTTGCAGCCATCTATGTTTCTTTACACCCCACGCCACCAAGTGCGGCTGCCCCATCGGCCTGGAGCTGCTGAGCGACATGAAGACCTGTATCATCCCCGAGGCCTTCCTGGTCTTCACCAGCAGAGCCACCATCCACAGGATCTCCCTAGAAACCAATAACAACGATGTGGCCATCCCACTCACTGGCGTCAAGGAGGCCTCCGCACTGGATTTTGACGTGTCCAACAACCACATCTACTGGACGGATGTGAGCCTCAAGGTATAGTGAGGCTGTGAGTACCTGTGGCTTCCTGTGGGCCTTGTCTGTGGCGTTGCTGCCGTGTGCTGTATGGCTGGAATATTTTTGTAAAGAATTATGATTTTGGGCTTAGAGTGATGGCTAAGTGGTTAAGAGCACTGGCTGCTCTTGCAGAGGACCGGGGTTCAGCTCCCAGCACCCACATGACAGTTAATAGCAGGGGCACTTATAAACTTTCTCAGGCAAAGTCACCTGAGGCCTTACAGCTTCTTTGAGCTACCTCCCTGTCATCAAGGCCAGCTGCTGTAAAGAACCCTGTCTCCTGATTTTTCCACTTATCATGGTAACCAGCATCTTATGAAGCTATTACAAACCCTTTACCATAATTCTTCAACATATAAAATAGCCTACTGCACAAGTATTGCCTATTAAGCTTCATAGGGTGTTCTGAGCATAATAGTGCATGCCTGTAATCCCAGCACTCGGGAGGTAGAGGCAGGACCAGCAGTTCAAGGCCATCCTCCATACACAGGAAAGTCAAGGTCAGCCTGGGCTACCTGAGACACTATCACAAAAACACAGAAAGAAAGTAAGCAAATAAGTCAGGCACGCTGGCTCATGGCTTTAGTCCTGGCAGGGGCAGGGGCAGGGGGACCTGTGTGAGGTCTAGACCAGCCTGATCTACATAATGAGTTCCAGGCCAGCCAGGGCTACATAGTGGGTCACTGTCTCAAGTAAATATAAAATGTTCTAGTTGCTTTTTCCTAATTCTAAAAATCTTTTATGTGTGTGTAATTTTATTTTATGAGTGTAATGCCTACATGTATGTAGGTGCACTGTGTTGTACAATGATCACAGAGGTCAGAAGAGGGTGTCAGAGCCCTTGGAAATGGTGGAGTTATGGATGGTTGTCAGTGCCATGTGGATGCTGGGAATTGAACCCAGGTCCTCTACAAGAGCAGCCAGTGCTCTTAAGCACTGAGCCATCTCTCCAGACCCAACTTTTTTTTTTTTTACTAGTTCTAAATAGTCTCAGTAAAGGGTTTTTTTTGTTTGTTTGTTTGTTTCTTTTCTACTGAGTGAAAGTATACAAGTTTTAAGACCCTGGGCTAGAGAGACGGCTCGATGATGATGATGATGATTAAGAACACTAGCTGCTCTTGCAGAGGACCTGGGTTCAATTCCTAGCACCCACTTGGCAGCTAACAAGTTTGTAAGTCCAGTTCCAGGGGAATCCAATGCCCTCTTCTAACTTCCATGGGCAGTGCGTGGCACAGGTGCACTTACATACATACAGGCAATACACTCATACACATAAAAATAATAAATAAAAATTTAAAAAGTACTCATAATATTTGGTTTTTGTTCGTTCTTGTCTTTTTGAGACAGGGTCTCCCTGTAGCCCCAGCTGGCCTGGAACTCACTATAGAGACCAGGCTGGCCTTGAACTCACAGAGATTTGCCTGCCTCTGCCACCCAAGTGCTGGGATTAAAGGTGCCACCATGTCCAGCATATTTGTATAATACATAATATATTGGTATAGTGTGTGTGTGTGTGTGTGTGTGTGTGTCTGTGTGTGTCTGTGTGTGTCTGTGTCCGTGTCCGTGTCCAAGTTGCTTTTTCATCCTGTTGTGATCTGGTCCTGAGTGTGGTCAGCTGTTGCTCCAGGTGATGAAGCCTTTGCTTCATGAGTTGATGTCCACAAAAGATGCTGGTCTCTAACTGTGGCCTTCTCCCTGCACCCAGACCATCAGCCGAGCCTTCATGAACGGGAGCTCTGTAGAACATGTGATTGAGTTTGGCCTGGACTACCCTGAAGGCATGGCTGTCGACTGGATGGGCAAGAACCTCTATTGGGCAGACACAGGGACAAACAGGATCGAGGTGGCCCGGCTGGATGGGCAGTTCCGGCAGGTGCTTGTGTGGAGGGATTTGGACAACCCCAGGTCTTTGGCCCTGGATCCCACTAAAGGGTAAGGGCCGCTTGTGTCTATCTTGTGTCCCTCCCACGTGTCTACGTGGGCTTCTGTGGTGAGGCGACTGGCCCCACCTGGCTCTTGGGGTTAGTTGTTCTGACTGCCATCAGCCTTGAAGATGGTGAGAACTGGCAAGACCCTAGAAGGTCATCTTGCTCGTTCCCAGAGGGGAAACTGAGGCCAGAGTAGACACTGCTGTTGGACCCTGAACTGGCTGCTTCTACCTGGGCCAGTGTCTGTCTCTGAATTTACACACACAAAAACAGGCCCAGAGGGAACTGGGGAGATACCTCCATCAGCTAAGTGCTTTCCACACAGGCATGAGGACCTGAGTTTGATTCCAGAACCCATGTAAAAAGGCGGTGCAGCAGTGCACACCTGGTACCCCAACACTGATGAGGGGCAGTCAGGCAGATCCGCAGCTGGTCAGCCAGTTTAGTCAAATTGGCAAGCTCCAGGTTCAGTGAGAGACCCTGTCTTAAAATGAGGAGAGTGATTGAGGTCGACAGCCTCTGGGCTCCATGTACACATGAACACACGTACATACATGCACCAAAAAGACTCAGAAGCTAAGGTCCTGTGACCAGTTTCATCAGCCCTGGACCAATCAGTGCTGTCTCAGGCCTGCCTGTTTAGGCCTCTCTTGGGACCAAACTGCCACTCAGAGTTGGCCTTGAAGCACTTGCCTAAGAGTCACTCTGAGAGGTAGCCCTGTCCTGGGCACTGGGGCCAGAAGGGCCAAGAGTGGTCTCCTTCTTGTCCCGAGTGTCCTTTTCTGTGCAGGGCATAAGCCCACCCTATAGAGCATCCATGCTGCAAGGGGAATGGCCGAACTCTCAAGATGGCCAAGCACCAACAAAGGCCAAGAACAGGGTGTGAGCAACTCAGATGTGTTGGAACAGGGTGGGGAGCCCCTGCCGGGCTGGCTCAGCTGCCAGTCGGGGTGTTTTATTCTGTGAGGAGAGGGGCCAGCCATCTGTATTTGCCTGCAAGCCCTCCTTGATTCACAGGACACCCCAACACCCAGCCAGCTTGGTTGAGATGCGTTACCCTGCCTGGGCAGTCTCTCTGATCACTTCCTCTGTAACCTCTGTTGGGCTGCAATTGGGCACTTCCTGGCCCCTGTGGGTAGTCAGGGCCATGGCATGGCTCCTTCCTGGAGGAATGTCCCTGGCCACTTTCTCCCAGGACAGAAGGGCTGAGGCTAGGAGATGGTGGCTACTGTCTGCCTGCACCTTGTGCTGGGATTGAACTCACCTGAGCCCTGTCCCTCTCCTTCTACCTTCCAGATACATCTACTGGACTGAGTGGGGCGGCAAGCCAAGGATCGTGCGGGCATTCATGGATGGGACTGATTGCATGACTCTAGTGGACAAGGTGGGCCGAGCCAATGACCTCACCATTGACTATGCTGACCAGCGCCTCTACTGGACCGATCTGGATACCAACATGATTGAGTCGTCTAACATGCTGGGTGAGGGCTTGTGACTTAGGGGCTGAGGCCTGGGGAGGTGGCAGGGCTCTGGCTCACACACACTGGCCTATTGGCCTATTATGGTCTGTTGAGCCACCTGGCATCACAGGAAGTATGGACAGAGCCACAAGCATTCACACTTCACCTTCTCCTGTGGTGTGTCCCCATCCGGCCCCTGGTGCCCTTGCTTGTGGTGTTGGGGCAGGCCTGGTGGGCTTCAGGTCCTGGCCAAGCTCTGAGCTAGGACTGGTATTTGACCCTCCACCATGTGACAGAGGTGGGAAACTGAAGCTGGGCATGTCTTGAGATCCACCCAAGGTTGTGGAACAAGGGGAGCTTTTGCGCCCCCAGGACCAGCCTCAGCCTTCACCTAGCCCCATGTCCCATGGTTTTACCACCAGTGACAGACTCTGCTCCTGCTGCAGTAATCCTGGGTGTAAAAATAAGGTTTATTTTTGGTCTTTTTGAGACAGGGTCTCCCTGTAGCCCAAGCTATCCTGGAACTCACTATGTAGACCAGGCTGGCCTTGAACTCACAGAGATCCGCCTGCCTCTGCCTCCCGAGTGCTGGGATTAAAGGTGTGTGCCACCATGCCCGGTAATAAAGATAAGTTTTAAATGCATGTTATTCTTTTTTAAAATGTGAAGATTTTATACATGTTTTTGTTTTTGGAAACAATTTTTGGCTGGGATGTAGCTCAGTTGGTAGAATGCTTGTCTAGCAATGCACAAAGTCCTGGGTTTGAGCCCCAGCACCACATAAACCAAGTGTGATCTTGTGGGCTGGAGTCCTAGAACCTGGGGGTTGTGGGGGTGGTCAAAAACAGGAGGATCAGAAGTTCAGGGTCATCCTATACTACAGAGTTTGAGGCCAGCCAGGGCTATATAATACCAGGTAGGTAGGTAGGTAAGTAGGTAGGTAGGTTGGTAGGTTGGTAGGTAGATAGGTAGATAGGTAGATAGCCAGGCATGGTGGCGCACGCCTTTAGTCCCAGCACTCAAGAGGCAGAGGCAGGCAGATCTCTGTGAGTTCACGGCCAGCCTGGTCTACATAGTGAGTTCAGAACAGCTGGGGCTACAAGGAGGCCCTGTCTCAAAAAGACCAAAAAAAAAATGCAGCTAGGCGCATTGGCTCATGCCTATAATCCCAGCACTTGGGAGACTGAGGCAGGACAATCATCATGAATTTAAGGCCAACCTGGGCTGCATAGTGAATTCAGGCCAGTCTGGGCTACAGAATTGAGACCCTGTCACAACAAAGAAAGAAACAAAAAGTCCACTGAACACAACCCCATGGGTGTCCTGTGGCCAGTGCTGCATGTATTTCTCCCTGTGGACACCCCATTTCATGAAGTCAGAGGTTTCCCAACTTGGCCATGATTTCTGGAATGCAAGGTTGGCCTGACTCTCCCAGAAGGCATCTGGAGCTCAGTGGTCCCACCCTGCCCTGCTGACCCATTGCACCTTGTTCCCACACAGGTCAAGAGCGCATGGTTGTTGCGGACGACCTGCCCTATCCCTTTGGCCTGACACAGTACAGTGACTACATCTACTGGACTGACTGGAACCTGCACAGCATCGAGCGGGCTGATAAGACCAGTGGGCGAAACCGTACCCTCATCCAGGGCCACCTGGACTTCGTGATGGATATCCTGGTGTTCCACTCCTCCCGTCAGGATGGCCTCAACGACTGTGCGCACAGCAACGGCCAGTGTGGGCAACTGTGCCTCGCCATCCCTGGAGGCCACCGCTGCAGCTGCGCCTCACACTACACGCTGGACCCCAGCAGCCGTAACTGCAGCCGTGAGTGCCTCAGTCCCCGTTCCACACCCCATGCTTTAGTGTTGTGTTAGAGCTAACTGATGCTGGGGGCTACAGTGGAAGAGAGCTGCTCAGGTAGGGTATCTCAGTGTACACGGATGGTTGGCGGGTTGTATACCACATACTATTTACAATGCTACCTGCCAACTAGGCTGGGTAAAGGACTCACTGCGTCGTTAAGATGTAAATAAGTGGAGAACCCCTCAGCTCGCAGCTTCCATAGGAAGGTCTCTGAATATGAAAATCAGTCACTGGACAGTGTTCTTAACATTGCCAGCATTGTGCTCTGAGTGCTTGATACTAAGTCTCAAGACTGTAGGGTTGAGCATCCCAGTTAAGACGTCTAAGGCACAGAGCTGTGTAGTAACCTTCTCAAGGTCAAACAGCCGAGAAGTTGGAGCCAATCTAGCTCTAGAGTCCGTGTTCTTGACCCCTTATTGGTGGCTTCACAGGAGCTTATGTGACCCTATACTGATGCCAGTAGGGGCCCGTGTTCTTGTGTCCTTGATAAGGAAGATGAGGTTCAGAGGGCCAGAGAGTGAGTTTCCCATGGCCCTCTGCACGTACAGGTGTGACCCACCGCCGGCTCTTACACGAAGTCAGTCCAGCATCAGATACAGTCCAGTCCCTGCACGGTTGTCAGGGGAATCTGTCTCCTGGGCCTCAGAATCACTGTAGTAATGGCTGTTCTTGCCCACCTTGTTGAATCATCGAGGACCCTGAGGGTTGAAAGCTTGACACTTGAACTGGTTGTACATTGGCCTGGGCCAGAACATGGCCTCCCTATGGCTGTGTTCTCTCAGGCAGGTCGAGCTGTGGCAGGGAGCACACTTAGTCTCTAGTGTTGCTGGGACAGAGGCTTGGATTTAAACCCTTCACTGTAACCCTCGGATGGTGACTTCCTCACATCTGAGTACCACAGTTTCTGAACCTGGGCAGCTGGTCTTGGGCTTCCTGTGCTTCCTGGCCTGAAAGAGAGGCCAGCCTATGCCCTGTTTTCTTCAAGAGCAGTTTTTCTTACCCCTTTCCTTCCATTTTCTCTTTCCCTTCCTCCCTTTTTTGAGACAGGTTCTCATGTAGCTCAGGCTGGCCCTTTAATCACTATGTAGCCCAGACTTGCCTTGAACTCCTGATTCTCCTGCCTCTACCTTCCAAGTGCTGGGATGGCTGGCAGGCAGGCACCACACCCAGCTCCTTGAAAGCAGCTCCTTTGGGCCCTTGTCCCAGAGAACCGAGAAGCGGTCTGGAGACACCCCCATCCCCCCCAGTCCCAGGCTCCTTTGCAAACCAGAGGAGCTGAGCTGTCGTAGGAACTGCTTCTTAGGGAGCCTCCAGGAGCTGTCTAGCCCAGGCCACACCCGATTCCTGGCTCTGCGTCATGCCTTCCACAGGATCTGGTGCCCCTGACCCCAGGCCTGACCCTGTATCATTGCTCTCTGTGTGTGGTTCTCAACATGTCAGCTAGGTACATACATGGCATGATAAGGTCCTCAGAGGATTGTGTACCCTTGTGGGTGAGCGTTTGATGCTCACTGCTGTTGCCTTCCTGTCTTCAGCCTTCATAAGTCATCACCCCACTGGAGAGGGAACCCAGGGCCTCATGCATGCTAGGCAAGTGCTTCACTACTGAGCTAGGCCCCAAGCTTGAGTCCTTAAAAATAAGTGTCCGGGGGGCTGGGAAGATAGCTCAGTGGTTAAGAGCACTGACTGCTCTTCCAGGGGACCTGGGTTCAATTCCCAGCACCCACATGGCAGCTAACAACCTTCTGTAATTCTAGTTCCAGGGGATCTGACACCCTCTTCTGGCCTCCTCAGGCACTGCACGACATGGGTGCACTTATATACATGAAGGCAATACACTCATACACATAAAAATAAGTACAATTTTTTTTAAAGTGTCCAGGGCAGGGACATGGATCGGTTAGTAGAGTGCTTGCCTATTATGCACAAAGCTTTGGCCTCAATCTGTGTGACCACACAAGGTATGGTGGTGTGTCTTTATCTGTAATCCCAGCACTCGGAAGGTAATATCAGGAGTTTAAGGCCATTCTTGGATGGATAATGAGTTCAAGACCACCCTGGGATACATGAGACCCTGTCTCTAACAGATAAAAAGTATCTAGTTCATGAGCTGGACAGATGGCTCAGTGGTTAAGAACACTGGTTTTTCTTGCAGAAGACCCAGGTTTGAATCCCAGCACCCACATGGCAGCTAACAACTGTCCGTAGCTCCAGTTCCAGGGGATCCGACAGCCTCTTCTGTCCTCTGCAGGCATTGCATGATACGGGTGCACTTACCTACATGCAGGCAATACACGAATACACATAAAAAATTTTAAAAAATAATAAAATATTTTTTAAAAAGTATCTAGCTCAGAACTACCATGTAGACTTTGGAACAACAGAGGCAGAGAGTAAAATGACCCATCACCCATGTCAGGGGCCAGCTCTGTGTCCGTCCACTCTTCCCTAAGGTGTCTAGTGTGGAGCCTGTGTTGGTCAGCTTCTGCTCGCTGACACGTGGCCCTCGGTCTGTTTGTCCAGCGCCCTCCACCTTCTTGCTGTTCAGCCAGAAATTCGCCATCAGCCGCATGATTCCCGATGACCAGCGCAGCCCGGACCTCATCCTGCCCCTGCACGGGCTGAGGAACGTCAGGGCCATCGGCTATGACCCACTGGACAAGTTCATCTACTGGGTGGACGGGCGTCAGAACATCAAGCGAGCCAAGGATGACGGCACCCAGGCAGGTGCACCAGGGGGCAGGGTGTGGGGGGGTGCTTTCTGCCTGGAGCTCGCTCTGGTGGTGTCCAGGCTGTTCCCCAACTTCCGAATGGGCCTTGAGGTAAACAAGGATTTGGACTCTGGTTATGTAATTGCAGGTGTGAATCTCTCCACGTGAAACCCAAAATTGTGATTATGAGAGAAACTGGGTTTCCCAGTTGTTTACTAGTCCTGGGGGCGGGGGGTGGGGTGGGGACGACAAGCCAGCAGGATTCTTTGTACAAGGTGGTTTTGTGTGGTTCAGGGGTGGTGAATCCAGATCATACCACACATAACCATTATAGGATTTATGCAATTGCTTCTTTTTAAAAAATATTTTTATTTATTATTTTATGTGTATGAGTGTATCACCCGCATGTATGTGAGTGCACCTGTGTTGTGCAATGCCGAGGAGGTCAGAAGAGGGCTTCGGATTCCCCTGGAACTGGAGTTAAGGACGGTTCGTAGCTGCCATGTGGGTGCTGGGAATCAAACCCGGGTCCTCTGCAAGAGCAGTCAGTGCTTTTACCCGCTGAACCATCTCTCCAGCTCCAGCAATTGCTTCTTTTTAAATTGTTTTATGTGTATGTGCACGTTCATATAGATGTGTGTGTGCATGCGCGCGTGAGCGCAGGCATGTGTATGTATGTGCATGTGGGAACCAGAGATCAGCCTCAGGTGGTGTTCATTAGGAGCTGTTCACTGAGACAAGGTCTCTCACTGGGACCTTAGGCTGCTGGCCAGCAAGGCCCGCCAGGGATCTGCCTGGGCTTGTCTCTACCTCCCAAGCAGCTCAGGCTTATAAGTCGTGAATAGCTGTTGTGTTGTGTTTTGTTTTGTTTTGTTTTGTTTTATGGCAGGTTCTCCCTGTAGCCCCAGCTGGTCTGAAACTCACTATGTAGACCAGGCTGACCTTGATCTCACAGAGATCCACTGCCTCTGCCTCCTGAGTACTGGGATTAAAGGCTTGTGACACCAAAGGATGTTTTGGACTATGCCACCTTCCCAGCCCTTGTGTAATACAATCAATTCCGTGATGCAATATACTTCCTAAAAGTCAACACTCTGCAAAACTGCTCAGCAGAAGCAATCCAGGGCTTGTGAGACAAAGAGGAACAGGGCCTGGCAATCAACAGCTCCATCAGTGACACAGCAGGATGGGAGCCTGGGAAGCACTGGAGCCCCTCGGCCCAGCCAATCACGTGTGCCATCGGCACCACCCACGGTATTAACTAACTGTGATGAGCGGGCAGACCTGGAACAGGCAAAGGCCTGTGGGTACGGGACCTCAGGGGGCTTGTGGCCCGTGGGCTTCTGTGAAATGGTAGCAGAGCATCATGGGAAGTAGCACTGCATTATGACTGGGTGTGGCTCAAGACTAGGATTTACAGGATAGTAGAGCTATGTGTCATCCAGGCCTCATGGGGCCAGGGGCCAGGATAAGTGTTTGCTTTCACTCCTTTCCCCATTTGATGTGTGTGGGTGTGTGAGTGTATGAGCATGTAGAGGCCCAAGGATTAAAGGCGTGCACCACCACACCGAGCTTTTTGTACTCTGATTTTTTTTTTACTTCTTAAATTGTATGTGTATGTGTATGTCTGTGTGTGGGAATGTACACTTGAGTATGGTGCCCTCAGAGTTTAGAAGAGGTGTTGGATCCTCTGGAGCTGGTGTTAAAGGTAGCTGTGAGTGCTGGGGGTCTAACTTAGGTCCTCTGCAAGAGCAGCAAGTGCTCTTAACTACTGAGCCAGCTTTCCTGCTCGGAGTAGGCATGTCGTTGAGCCAAGCTGAGGGCTGCTCAGCAGGTAAAGGCGCTTACTGCGAAGCCTGACGTCCTGACTTTAATCCCCAGAACCCACATGGTAGAAGGAGAGAACCGACTGTCCTAGTTTGATTCTCCATTTCTGTGACAAAACACTGACCAAAACCAGCTTGGGGAGGAAAGGGTTTATTCAGCTTACATCTCCCAGGTCACAGTTCATCAGGGAGCCCAAGGTAGGAACTCAGGGCAGGAACCTGGAGGCAGGAGCTGGAGCACAGGCCATGGAGGAACACTGCTTACTGGCTTGCTCCCCTGGCCCCTGCTCAGCCTGCTTTCTTATGCAACACAGGCCCACCTGCCCAGGGGTGGCACCACCCACAGTGGGCTGGGCCCTCTCACATCACTCAACAATCGAGAAGGTACCCCATGGACATGGCCATAGGCTAGTCTAATGGCAGCAATTCCCCAATTGAGGCTCCCTCTACCCAGGTATGTCAATAACTCAATAAATAAATGTAAACAAAAAAAGAAAGCCAAGGCTAGAGGAAATGCCCCCAAATCAGTTGGAATGTTGACTTTGAGACTGTCCCTCGGGGATCACAGGATGCAACAGTGTGGTGCAAGCGTGGTCTCCTTCTGTCTCACAGCCCTCTGTTCTGACCTCTTCCGGCCAAAGCCTGAGCCCAGACAGACAGCCACATGACCTCAGCATTGACATCTACAGCCGGACACTGTTCTGGACCTGTGAGGCCACCAACACCATCAATGTCCACCGTCTGGATGGGGAGGCCATGGGTGTGGTCCTTCGGGGGGACCGTGACAAGCCAAGGGCCATTGCTGTCAATGCTGAACGAGGGTAGGAAGCCTCCTGGGTGGGCATGCTCTGGGATGAGGGTTGTGTGCACCTCTAAGGTGTGTGGTCACCTGCTGGCCCCTGTGACCCTCTTAGGAGCTAGACACTGTCCCCAGCATTGCATCTTCCCAGGATCCAAAGCACTGCATAGGCAGAGGTGCGGGTGGATGTGCGTATTCTTTGGGGCTGATATGTGAGGCAGGAGTTAGACTGGGCAAGGACTTACCTGTGGAGCTGGTACCCCAGGGTGGCTGGAACCAGCACAGGTTGGGCAACACCGGAGTTCAAATCCTGACGTCTACACCTACTGCCTCAGTGACCTCTGGCAGGTGACACAACTCCTCAGAGACTTGGGTCCTTGTCTGTGACTGTGAAGAGGATGGTGGTGTCAGTCTGCAACAGAGGTTTCTGAGCTGAAGCCTTAGTTGCTGGTGGTAGCTGTTGAGGAGCTGAGTGAGCGCCCTCCAAGGACTTGGGGGCTCCTTGGCATTTGGACAGGGGCATGGATAGGTGTCCTGTGACTGAAGGCAAGTAGAACGACAGATGACTATCCTCTCTCATAGTCCCAGAGCCCAGATGGCCTCGATCAAGGTTCTGGCAGGGCCAGCCACATGTCCCCAGTGTAGTAGGGACAGTCCTCTAGCTTTGGTGGCCACAGTTGTTCTTTGAATTGTCCTGTCACTCCCAGCTCCTCCTCTGACTGCATGTTGGCCTCCGTGTCTCTGTGGCGGCCTCCTCTCCCCCTCTTCCCCCCTCCTCTTCCTCCTCCGACTGTTATGGAATTTAGGGCCCATTCTCATCCAGAACGAGCCCATTTCCATCCTGTCACACTTGTAAAGACCTCATTTCCGAAGACATTCACATCCTGAGTTCTGGGGTGGCATGAATTTGGAGGACACTATTCCCTACTTATGAGGCATGACCTTTCAGCCTCCAAGACCAGCTCCGAGAGGCTCCGACTGTCTGGATGGCAGCAGGGTGAGGGGCTGGCAGAGGAGATGGGGTGGCAGCAGAGCTCCTGGTCCCTGCCTTTCACTGGCTGCTTCTGCCCACTGTACCCCCACAGGTACCTGTACTTCACCAACATGCAGGACCACGCGGCCAAGATCGAGCGCGCTGCCCTAGACGGCACTGAACGCGAGGTCCTCTTCACCACGGGCCTTATCCGCCCAGTGGCCCTTGTGGTAGACAATGCTCTGGGCAAGCTCTTCTGGGTAGATGCAGACCTGAAGCGTATTGAAAGCTGTGACCTGTCAGGTAGGTTCGCACCCCGGGCATCCCCAGCTTACAGGTGCAACCCTCCCATGAACATGCAGCTTTCCTTATTACCAGTCGGGACATCTGGGAGCCTGGCATTGTGCTGGGGCTCTGTGGGGATTGTGGGGACCAGGTTGTGAGACCTTAGGCTAGAGAGGAGGTGGAGTTGTTGCTTAGAGGAGGGTTGGGTCCTAGTAATCCTCCTTTGAATGAAAGCTGTGGTGACTGGGGAGATGGTTGGGTTGGCAAAGTGCTTATAATTCAAGCGCAAGAACCTGAGTTCTGATCCCCAGCACCCATATAAAAAGCCAGGCACCATGGCACATATCTGAAATCCCAGCACTGGGGAGGAAGAGAAAGGAGGGTCCCTGGGGCTTGCTAACCAGTGTAGTCTCAGTGAACTTCTAGTTCAGTAAAAGACCCCATCTCCAAAAATAAGATGGGGGGTGGGCTGGAGAGATTGCTCAGTGGTTAAGAACACTAACTGCTCTTGCAAAAGTCCTGGGTTCGAATCCCAGCATCCACATGGCAGCTAACAACTGTCCATAACTCCAGACATCTGACAGCCTTTTCTGTCCTCTGCGGGCATTGCACAGCTCGGGTGCGTTTACCTACACACAGGCTCATACACATAAAATAAAAATAATAAATTTTAGGATCTCTGTGAGTTCGAGGCCAGCCTAGTCTATATAGTGAGTTCCAGGACAGCTGGGGCTACAGGGAGACCCTGTCTCAAAAAGACTTAAAAAATAAAAAATAAATAAATAAATAAATAAATAAATAAATAAATGAAACATGGAAAGTCAACAAGATGGCTCAGTGGGTCAAGGCACTTGCTGCAGAGTCTGAAGACAGAAGTGTGATCCACAAGTTGGGATCCACATAGCAGGAGAGAGCTGGTTCCTTCAAATTGTCCTTGGAGCTTCACACACAAGCTGTGGCACATGCAGGCCCAAACATGTACACACCTACACGCACACACGCACACACGCACACAGAGACAGACAGACAGAAACAGAGACAGAGATATAAAAAATACATAAGTTGAAGATATGATTGAAAGTGACATCTGGCACCAACCTCTGGTTTCTGTATGTCTGCACATGCTTGTACACACACATATCTTCCACACACAGAGTACACAACACACACACACACACGCACGCACACACACACAGTGTGAGGGGAAGCATCATGTTTGCAGGGACCAGTGACCAGGGTCCACACTCAGGGGCTATGGCTCTGAACCCAAGGGTAGCTCTGGTGGGGGCAGCCTGCTTCCACTGTGGCCACTCCAGCTGTGAGCCCTGGAGCATGCAGAAATCCCTCAATACCCTGGTGGTCCTGTCTTTTAAGTCCCATTCTCCTGATCTGAACATGGGCCTAGCTTTCCAGCCAGCCATGCTCAGAGGGAGTTTTTCATACCGACAGGGGCGAACCGCCTGACCCTGGAGGACTCCAACATCGTGCAGCCGGTGGGCTTGACGGTGCTTGGCAGGCACCTCTACTGGATAGATCGCCAGCAACAGATGATTGAGCGTGTGGAGAAGACTACTGGGGACAAGCGGACTCGTGTCCAGGGCCGCGTCACCCACCTGACAGGCATCCATGCTGTGGAGGAAGTCAGCCTGGAGGAGTTCTGTATGTGAGGGTGGGCAACAGAGGGGATAGGGTTCCCTGGGGGAAGGTGACACTTCCAAAGACTTCTGTACCAGCCCTACTTGAGGTAGACAGGTTGTAGGTGGAAGGCAATATACCCCGTGGGTGTGGTGGGCTCAGTGCTGAAGGCCAGCAAGTGCTGTGTCCACACCTCTGCAGTCTCAACTTTAAAAAAAATTTTATTACGTGTGTGAATGTATCGCCTGCATATGTATAAGTGCACCCTTGTCATGCAATGCCCGAGGAGGTTGGAAGAGGGCGTCGGATCCCCTGGAACTGTGGACAGTAGTTAGCTGCCGTGTGGGTGCTAGGAACCGAAACTGGGTCCTCTGCAAGAGCAGCCAGTGCTCTTAACTGCTTAGCCATCTCTCCAACCCCTGTGTTTTAAACTTTTAATTAAATTTTTATTTACTGTGTATGTGCCCACTTGTGCTGCATGTGCAAACGGAGGTCAGAGGATAAGTTGTAGTTCTCTCCTACCATGTGGGACCCAGGGTTCGAACTCAGGTCATCAGGCTAGGCAGCAGGTGAGCTGTCTTGCTGACTATATGCCTAGTGGTTTTTAGGTTGTTGTTGCTTTTTTTCTGAGATGGGGGGAGGGGGTGTATTAGTTACTTTTCTGTGATAAAACATCATGGCCAAGGGAATTTATAAAAGGAAGAGTTTATTTGAGCTTACAGGTCTAAAGGGTTAGAGTCCATAATGGCAAGGGGAGACATGGCAGAGGTGGCCAGAGCAGAAAGCTGAGGGATCAGTATCTTCAAGCAGGCACAGGAAGCCGAGAACTGGAAATCTGGCAAGGCTTAAGAATCTCAAAGCCCACCCCCAGTGACATGCTTCTCCAGCAAGGCCACAAGTCCTTAAACTTCCAAAAACAGCACCACCAACTAGGGACAAAATTTTCAAATTCTTGTAGCCTATAGAGGACATTTTCATTCAGACCACCACAGGGGGTCTCACTATGTATCTCTGACTGGCCTGGAACGTACTGTGTAGACCAGGCTGCCCTCGAACTCAAAGAGATCTGCCTCCCTCTGCCTTCTGAGTGCTGGGATTGAACACATGCTCCACCACAGCAAGCCTATTGTTTTGTTGTTTTTTTGAGACAGGGTCTGCTTGTAGCCCCAGCTGCCCTGGAACTCACTGTGTAGACCAGGCTGGCCTCGATCTCATAGAGAGCTCCCCTGCCCACCTCTACCTCTCAAATGCTAGGATTAAAGGCACACACCACCACAGTAAGTCTAGTGTTTTAAACAGCACACATGTGCTGTCTTGGTTCTGTAAATCACAAGTCCCAGCCTAGCAGGGCTTAGAGGTGGTCTCTGCTCAGGGTCTCCCAGGAATAGAAGCCAAGTCCACCAGGCCGGACTCCTAGTGGCGAGCTCAGGAGAAGAGTCCAGTTCCATGCTCACTCAATGGAGTTGGAGTTTGGTTCTAAGACCGGCCTTGTTTTCTTTCTGTCTAGCAATGTTACTCTCCTGTGCAGAGGGCACTCCTGTACCCAGCTTCCCATCACTGTGCTAAGCACCTGAGATGTTGGGCACAGGTCATTCAAGCTCAGGGTCTCAAAGGTTCCAGACCGGCGTCGGTCTCCTGGAGGGGTCTGGCTCGCATCCTCTCCACACCACAGGTCTTGAGGAGGGAGGCAGAGCCTGACTCCTGACTCCATCTTGCTTTGCCCCTACAGCAGCCCATCCATGTGCCCGGGATAACGGCGGCTGCTCCCATATCTGCATTGCCAAGGGTGACGGAACGCCTCGGTGCTCATGCCCTGCCCACCTTGTGCTCCTGCAGAACCTGCTGACTTGTGGTGGTGAGCGAGATCTTGATGCTTCCTCTTGGGACTTTGAATGGGGAACTGAGTCTCTTCTCTTTCAAGTTACTGCCTTAAAATTATAGTCCCCGTGGCAGATAATCTCCAAAGCATGTCATCTCTCCATGTATAGCCCTTTCCTTTCTAATTTATACACATACTTATATGCACACATGCACACACACACATAAGTGCATTTAGTGCTATGAATTTCCCTTTAAGCACTGATTTTCCTGCATCACACAGATTTTAATAACTTGTATTTTCTTTTTCAGATACTTTAGATTTTGTGTGTGTGTGTGTGTGTGTGTGTGTGTGTGTGTGTACATTTCCATGTGTGTACAAGTGTGTGTGTGCACATGTATGTAGGGGCCAGAGATCAATCTTGTGTGTCTTTCTCTAAGGAGCCATCTATCTTGTATTTTAAGACAGGATCTTTTGGGGTTGGAGAGATGGCTCAGTGGTTAAGAACACTGGTTGTTCTTGCAGAAGACCTGGGTTCGAATCCCAGCACCCACATGGCAGCTAACAGTTGTCCGTAACTCCAGTTCCAGGGGCTCCAACAACCTCTTCTCTCCTCTGTGGGCATTGCACTACATGGGTACACTTACCTACATGCAGGCAATACACACATACACATAAAATAAAAAATGAATAAATAAATAAAATATGGCTGGGTATGGTGGGACACGCCTGTAGTCCCAGCACTTGGGAGGCAGAGGCAGGTGGATCTCGGTGAGTTTAAGGCCAGCCTGGTCTACATAGTGAGTTTCAGGCCAGCTAGGGGTACAGGGAGACCGTGTTTCAAAAAGACCAAAAAAGTGGGCTGGAGGTATATTTCAGTGGTAGAGAGCTATATGAAAAAAAAAAAGACAGGATCTCTCCCTAGAAACTGGGGCTTGCCAGTCAGGCTAGGCTGTCTGGCCAGCAGGCCCCAGGGATCCTTCTGTCTCTGTGTTCCCAACACTGGGATTACATGAGTGTGTCACCATGCCTGACTTTATATGTGGGTGCCAGGAATTGAATTCAGGTTCTCGTGTTTGTGTGACAAGCTTCAGCCCCAGTAGTTGAAACATTTTAAATTTTTTTCCAGGTACAGCTTCCTTGGCTCAGTGTGTTTAGGGTAGAGGTGTGTGTGGCTCAGTGGTAGAAGGCTGCTTATCTAGAAGTGTTCAGTTTACTCTCTAGGCACTTAAGAATGTGCCAGCTATTTCTGTTACTTCTTTCTAGTTTAATTTCACCACTGTCTAAGAGCTTGCCTTGTGAGATTCGTGTCCTTTTAAAGGTATTGAAACGTGCTTTATGGCCCACTGTGTGATGTGTCTTGGCGAATTTTTTTTTTTTAAGATTTATTTATTTTTGGTCTTTTTGAGACAGGGTCTCCCTGTAGCCTCAGCTGACTTGGAACTTACTCTGTAGACCAGGCTGGCCTCACACTCACAGAGATTCACCTGCCTCTGCTTCCCACGTGCTGGGATTAAAGATGTGCACCATCATGCCCTGCAGATTTATTTATTTTATATGCATGAGTGTTTTGCTTGCATGTATATATGTGCACCACATGCATGCAGTGCCCATGGAGGCCAGAAGAGGGCGTTACATCCCCCGGAGCTGGAGTTACAGACTGTTGGGACCATGTGGGTGCTGGGAACGGACTATAGGTCTAGGGATTCTGCTGTTGGGTGGATCAGTCTAGAAACATCAGTTAGATCCCGTTGGTTGATAGCATAATCAGTTGTATCTTGTCTGAGGTCTAAGCACTGTCAGTTACTGTTGATCGTTGAAGTTTCCACCTCTAAAAGCAGACCATTTCATCCTGCTTTTGACATTGCTCCTCCTTCCCCTCTATAATCCTTTTGCCCTGAGGCTACATAGTTGTGATGGTGGAATGTGGCCTAGAATGAGCAGACCTGGGTTCAAATCCTGGATTGTATGACTTGTCAGCTGAGTGACCTCAGACTGCACACTTGCCCCCTGGGAGCCTCTACTTCCACCTAGCAAGCTAATTTCACTTCAAATAACAGCATTCCTGCGGTTCTTGATTTGTGACACATAGGTGCTGTTGCGTGAACCCTCACGGTGGTGAAGCTTGCCGTCCGGGGCTCCCTCTCCACCGTGGCCTGGCTGTGCGCTGTTGTTCCTTTCCTCTTTGAGTTCCCCCTGCCCTCTGTCCTGCACGTCCTGGACGTTGGCCCTGTTCTTTTCAGCAGCTCTGGGGGACTGACGGTAGCCCCATGAGCTCAAGGCATGGTCCTTACACAGGGCTTGTCCTTCTGAAGTTTTCTCTTGGACTTCCTCACACCTCAAACCCAGTGATATGAGTGTTTGCCTGCATGTATGTAAGTGCACCATGTACATGCAGTGCCTGTGGAGGCCAGGTGTTGGATCCCCTTGAACTGGAGTTATAGATGGTTGTTAGCTGTTATGTGGGTGCTAGGAACTGAACCCAGGTCCTTTGGAAGAACAGCCAGTGCTCTTAACCACTGAACTATCTTTCTAGCCTGTTTCTGGTTTTTGAGACATTGTCCCATGGCCCAGCCTGACCTTGAGCTTGCTGTGTTAGCCACAGTTAACCTTGAACTCCTGATCCTTTTGTACTTCCCAAGGCTGGGATTACAGGTGTATGCCACCACACACTCGGTGTGAGGCCCCTTCTCACAGCCTGAGAGGTGAGCACTTCCTGCATTAGATACTTTCCAGTCTTCTCGTAGACACGTCTCTGGATAGGTCACAGGATGAAGGTTGGCCCAGGCTCTTGGATATGAGCCCCATCACATGGTAAGAGCCAGTTGGTCAGGCGGAGCCTATAATGCTTCAAAGTTTCAGCTGCTCAGCCCTGACACTTCCTCTCTGTGACTGTATCCTAGCCCCATGTGCCCCCTTTTTCTCCATAGGCCCAGTCAGTTATACAGTGACTCCTGGGAGCAAAGAGCAGCAGCTTCTGTTTGAAAGTAGGAGGAGACGGAGGCCTTGAGAAGCCGAGGAAGTCTTCAGGGTTCACAGCTGCTGTGAGATGCTTGGGTTCTAATTTGGTCCTAGTCTGCCTGACCCTGCAGTGTGCCTCTCTCAACCTCCAGGCATGCTGTAGCTTCAACTGTCAGCCCCTGGCAAGGCCAGACCCTCTGCCTCCATCCTGGGGGTCAAAGGAAACAACAGTGGGTCCAGAGCTTTAGGGCTGGAGCCCAGGTGTGTAGTCTGAGCCACTGTCCACATGTTTTTCTGTGGCCACAGTCGGTGCCTTTCCTGTGTGGATGGCTCAGTGGGTAGACACACATTGGTTTCTTTCAGATGTCAGGAACCCTGGGCTTCTGCTGACTTTGTGTGTCCTTCCTTGGCTAAGCCCAATGGGGTCAGTTGGGCTTTCTTTGTTCCTTGTCATTCTTTTAGGTCTACATTATGTGTGTGCGCGCGTGTGTGTGTGTGTGTGTGTGTGTGTGTGTGTGTGTAGGTTAGAGGACATCTCTCAGAAATTGGGTCTGTCCTTCTGCCATATGGGTCTGAGGAATCCAATCAGGTTATCAGGCTTTACCTAATGAACCATCTCGCTGGCTCTCCTCCCTCCCTCCCTCCCTCCCTCATTTCCTCCCCCCTTCCTCCCTTCCTTCCCTTTTATGAGACAGGGTCTCAGTATGTAGCTCTGGCTACATATGAAACTCAGGCGACTGGCCATGAACTCACAGAACTCCTACCACCTCTGCCTCTCAAGGGTGGGTATCGAAGGCATGCCTCCACCTCGCCCAGCCCTTTCTTGGTTTCTTGTGCGTGCTCCTTGCTGCTCAGATTCTTACTTCGTCTTGCATCATCAGGTACCCCAAAGCCGTGGGCAGCACATGGGTCCCTATGTCGAGGTCGAATTTCTTCCCTTCTTTTTAGGCAGGTTGAGGACTGTTTCTTCACTGTTAAAAGGGAAGCTGTGCATTCCCCTCGGCAGCCCATGTTAGTTCAGTTCAGTTCAGTTCTTTTCCACCCAGAGGAGGGGGCCCTGGAAAATGGGGGGCCGTGAAGCCAAGTGTTCCTTTGCCTTATGTGTGAGTACCCTTGAGCCATATTGTGTCTGCATCCCTGATCCTGGCACAGGGTCATTTACTGAGTGCCGCTCTGTGCCTGGCTGTGACCCATACATATCCTGAGCTGAGGCTGTTGTTTTATTTATTTTTTTTTTAATTTTTATTTTATGTGTATGGATTTTGACTGCATGTATGTAAGTGCACTACGTGTGTGCTTGGTACCCACAAAGGCCAGAAGACGGTATCGGATCCCCTGGAACTGGAGTTCCTCTGCAAGAGCAGCAAGTGTTCTTAACTGCCGAACCACCTCTCCAGCCCCTAAGGGTGTGATGTTGTTTTAATCTAGCATCTTTTTTTTTTTTTTTTTTTTTTTTTTTTTGGTCTTTTTGAGACAGAGTCTCCCTGTAGTCCCAGCTGTCCTGTAGCTCACTATGTAGACTAGGCTGGCCTCAAACTCACAGAGTTCTCACAAGTACTGGGATTAAAGGATAATTTAAGTAGTATTGGTTGGAGGCCTTCTTTAAATGTCTAGTAGAATTCTGCTGTAAATCCATCTGGGCCTGGGCCTTTTTTAGTTGGGAGGCTTTGTATTACTGTTCAATTTCCTTATATGTTATGGGTCTGTTTAAACTGTTGATCCCTTCTTGGTTTAACTTTGGTGGTTCCCATGAATTCAGATATCCATCCATTTCTTTTAGACTTTCAGATTTAGTAGCTAAGCGTCTACCTTGTTTAGCTTTTCAAAGAACCAGCTCTTAGATTCACTGATTCTTTGTATTGTTTTCTTTGTTTCTATTTCATTAATTTCTGCTTTGAGTTTTGTTATTTCTTCTCACCTAATGGGTTTGGGGTTGGTTTGTTCTTACCTTTCCAGGATCTTAAGTTGTATTGTCAGGTTGTTTATGTGTGCTATTTCTGATTAATGTAGGCACTTAGAGCTATAAACTTCCCTCTTAGGATTGCTTTTAATGTGTCCCAGAGGTTGTGTTGTAT